ATAGTCTGAGGATGGGAGAATTAGTCATCCCCAGTCAATAGCACACTGATTGGACATTGAAGACTACATGAAAGCAAGCATACAAGTAGCATTATACTGATTAAGCAGATTACATGTACATATTTACAAATTAGTCTATAAATACATAAATATGTATGTACAACAATTAATGAAAAAAGAGGACATAACTTTGAAAGAGAGCAAGGGAATGCAATGGTAGGGATTTAAGAAAAGAAAGTTCCTTATACTGTGTAAATACAAGCTGCTATGATTGGTTTGATGGAAAACCTGATAGCAAATAGCTAGATTGGATAAGATTAGGTAGGAGAATGAGATTAAGGATGTTGGAAGAAAGGCGAGTCAGAGAAGTAGCCAGACAGACACAGTGGGGGCAGGATATAAAAATGTCATGTTAATAAAGGTATCACCACGTAGCAGAGGTTAAATAAGAATTATGACTTAATTTAAAATATGAGAGCTAGTTAATAATAAACCTGAACTATTGGTTGAGCATTTTTTGATTTACAATAAGAGTTTCTGAGTAGTTATTTGGGAGTAGGCTGGTAGGACAGGCATACTCCGTCTACAATATGGATATGATAAAACTATATTATAATCTCAAAAAATAAAATAAATATTGTTTAAAAGAAGTCTTCACAACTATGATGATGAAATTGAAGGGGATATGTTGACTTCAGTAGAAAGTGTGCAAAAAGGAGAAACATCAGTTCTGATCAATGTTGCAAAATTGCAAAAAAAAATTGAAAAACCACACACAGCAGCAAACAACACATTAGTGTTGCCTTATCTGGTGGCGTGCAGGGTTTATTGTCATTATTGGAGAAGGAAATGTAAGTTTATAATTAAAGTAGAAAAACAATCAAGGTTTTCTTTAGAATTAGTCTTAGAGTAGAAAAAGAATGATGTTTTTCTTTAGAATTATTCTGAAATAAGACATATTACTGGCATAGAGCATTGTATAAAAGGTCTAGAAGAAGAAAAGCCTACTCCAGAAAAGTCAAGAGGGGTTCTCTTCAAGTGTCATACAGGTGAGCCAACTCTGATGAAAAAAAAAAATCCCCATGAAGACTGACTTTGTTAAGCTGGATCAGACGTTTTGGTGGTCTAATAACAGCCAGTTTATTACTAACACATTTAAATCCAGTATAATTTGGGAAGGAGTTTCCTGGTGTAATAAAATCCCTTTTGTGGAAAGAAGCATAATTGCATTGAAACTCAACTCAAGGTACATGTAATTTACTCCAAGAAGATGGGTTCTAGAGATAAGGCAACCTGTGCTAGCTTAAGCGTTTAGGGGCCAAACAGGAAGTGAAGAAGTCATTTGGGCTATTAGCTACCTCCAACACTGGCTGTGGGAGCTTTGGGGAGCCTTTGGTTATAAGACTCATTTAGATTACTAACCACCTCCAGTCTTGGCTGTAAGTACTTGATATGTTCTGGCCCAACAGATAACACAGACAATCAGGCAGTTAATCACTTCCAATTTTCAGATTTCTGGATAGAAGAGTAGGTTTTTCATCTTTGCCATAGGAAAAACAATTCTGTGTGTTTAACATTCATTCCTGGTTTCTATGGAGTTCTGTAGTTACAAGGACCTTTGTGTTGTATTCCCAAAAGATTAGAAAGGGGTTTTACAAGACTCACATTTCCTCTGTTGTGATGAAGAAGACATAAAGTTAGCATTCATTACAGCATGTATATGTATCTCAAAATATCATCTTTTATATTTCAAGTTTCCATAAAAATTATAACTTGAAAATATTGAAAATTTAATAATACAATAAATATTAAGAACAATAAATAGAATAAACTGTCACTGCAGAAAAATTCTAAATTAATGCAAACTATCTTTGTGCTCAAAAGGCACCAGACACATATCTGTAGACAAGTCTTCCTCCTGCTCGTTCGTCATTTCCTCAGGGCTGCTTTCATAAATCTGTTTCTCAAACTATTGGGATTCATTCTGAATGGAAACCACTTTTATGGGCTACACAACTCAAAACTATTCTACTCTGTCTCCCAGAATTCCACATTTTTTGTGTGCACTGACTATTTGCCTGTCTTCTACAGCATGAATTTTGAGAATTTGTCCACTTATTAAGTGATATTAAAAGGTATACACCCTGAAAATAGTATTCCAATCTGTTACACTTTAAAATGTTTTATTGATACAAGTACTCAGTTTTATGAATTTTATTAACATCTTTTTCTTCCTGGTTTAATGTCTTATGAAGGATGACTTTTAATTTTCCCAAACTTATTTTCTAAAGATTTGTAGCTTAAATTTTTGTGACTTCATAAAAAGACTTAAGAAATGGTCCTTTAATGTATTTCTTATGGAATACTTTGAGGAACAAGAGTGTTAGTTTTGCTTTCTATATTTGGTGGAATTCTACCAAATACTGAATTCTACTGAATTTGAGTGACTCAATACTTTTTTTAGTTGAGAAAATTTTAATTATAACTTTAATTTCAACATGAGTTATGGGTTTGTTTAAGTTGATTAACTGTTGCCAATCGACAGAAACTGAAAATCATCTAACCACTTTGTGAAGTATCCAATTTAACAATAACAATGATATAACATTTATACATAAATATATACTAAAAAGTTGAACAATTATGAACAAAAAATAATAGTGTTCATAGAATTATCATCTTAATGCATGAAGAGTCAATTAAAGCCAAGTGTGCATCATTTAATGAATAAATGAACAAATTGTAGTGTATAGATTCATATATTAGAATTTTATTCTGGCTTTTAAACAATAAATACTGCAATATTGCTCTATATGAATTAACTTTGAAAATATATTGCTCTATATAATGAGAAAATACAACACATATCATTTAACTTCAGAAATAAAATAATAATATTCATCTTTGCTACAGGTTGGTAGTGGATTGGAGCTGAATGATAAGAATTGACTCCAAATTAACCTAAATTTTATTTGATTGGTGATCATAAACATTAAAATTATAAAATGTAATGTTTTACAAGTTTATGTATTAAGTGTCACAATTGTCTATTTTCAATTTGAACGAGAGAGTTCTCCTTTCCGCATATCATGGCCAAATTTTTTTTTTTTTGGTTTCTTTCTCCCTTCTCTGTCTGTCTGTCTGTCTGTCTGTCTGTCTTTCCCTTTTTCCTTCTTTCTTCTGGTTTTGTTGTTTTTCTTAGTTGTAGCCTCATTTCTTAAAACTGTGACATTCAAGTCTCTTAAGAGCAGCCATTGTATTAAAAGGCCATTACTAAAGCTTAAAACTGCTTACTTTTTTATGTCATAAGCCTTCCAATATGCTTCACCTGGTCAAGGTGGTTTCAATACTAACTCTTCACTAATAATTTCTTAAAAATTCAAATAATCAAATTCAAAGTTTTGTTAGGAAATTGTCTTAAGGTTTTGTGAGACAGGGTTTCTCTGTGTAACCTTGGCTGTCCTGGAACTCACTATGTAGATAAGACTGGCCTTGTTCATGGAGATTCACCTGGTTCATCCTCCCAAGTGCTGAGATCATAGGCTTGTGTGATCACCACCCATCAAGACTGTCATATTCTTATTGAATCAGAAGTCAATTTTTCTTCAGTAAGTAGAAACTTTCTCCTCTGTTGATGGGCTGTACTTCAGAGCTGATGCCCCAACAAGCCAGGCCCAGCCATTGATCTTCCAAACTCAATTAACAAATACATATTAGAACACTATAACAATTGATAAACAAAGAGTCCATGAAGGGGAGCTGGGAGGGATATATAGAAGGGATTGAAGGGAGTAGTGTCAAGATAAACAGAAACAGCCAAATTAACAGTAAAATACAGAATATAGAGATCTTCAAATGAGGTAAGTTTGGGCAGATAGACAAAAAGTTTCAGTGACACTTGTTCCACAAATTCATCTTCAGGGGACCTAACAAGATATTATAGTAAAATTTGAACAAGAGAAAAGAAACATGCATACCTAAGCATCCTGGCTAAGCTGTGATCCTACCTACCATAGTCTAAACTTTAAGTCTCTATTTAAAATTCAGTCTTTCTTCCAATGTGATATGAAATTTGTTCATCTTTCTACATGAGACATTTCCTCTTCTGGCAGACAAAATATCTCCAATATTTCTATCTTTTACTCTCCAAGCAGGAGTTTCCTAGAGAAACAAACATTTATTGTAGTCTATTCTGACAATATTCTGATACCCTAAGAAATAGGATCAGGTGTCTGCTTAGAATGCGTTCAAAGGGTGGCCTGGAAATCTTAATTCTTCTGTCCCTACATATTTAGCATTCCTGATAGGCAGGTTGAGTGTATTGCCTATGAATCTTGTCAAAGGTTAATTATATGATTTCCAATGTAACTCTCAGATGGGATGGCTTCAGTGTAATTATCTTTTCTTCATATTTTCTATAATGTCATTCAAACAACTAACAATAACAAAAAGATTATGTAATTCCCAACTATGAAGTGCCCCAGACTTGGCTCTCTGCTTTTGCAAAGAACCTGAAAATATGAGATGGAACTGCTAAGTAACTTAACTCTGTTGCTTCTTATTAAATGTCTCAGACATTGAAAAATGAATGTGTGGCATACTTTTTGCACCTGCAAAAGTCAAGTCACTGATAGTGTTATGTATCAATCACTAACATTTGAAAGTAATATATTCATGCCCAGGAGAGGATGAAAAAAGCACAGGCACATGTTGCATTACTATTTCATTTCAGCTGCTGTCATGACTGTTGTTTCACAAGGGCATTCTCTAGCCTAACATTGTTTGCAAAGATAGAGTAGTATTCTTTATATTATAGGGTAAGGTATATAATGATAATTAATAAAGCGTACCTTAAAATGAAGAGCATACAAACAATGCAACTTGAAACTTATGAACCCTTGGCAAAAAGAAATGTGACAATAAGGCTGCACTCAAAAAGTACTAGGCACTGGTAATTTCTCTGAGGTTTAACTACAGACAAAGATTACATCGAATTCTGATCAAAACTTTCTCCTATTCAGGGATCTTCTCAGGGCAACTTTAACATCTTTGTTCCTTAAACTGTAGATTAAGGGATTCATCATGGGAATTATGATAGTATAGAAGACTGAAGAAATTTTTCCCTCATTCATAGACCAAGTTGAGGAGGGCTGAAGATACATAAATGTGCTTGATCCAAAAAATAGAGAAACAGCAAATAAATGGGAACTGCAGGTACTGAACGCTTTGTACTTGCTCTCAGCGGACCTCACCTGGAATATGGTGCAAAGAATGAAGGCATAAGAGATAATAATGATGGCAGTAGGAACTACAATGTCCTTCCCTGCTACAATGAACAGCTCTATCTCATTGACATAGGTGTTGGTGCAAGACAGCTGCAGCAAAGGGAGGATGTCACAGAAATAGTGGTTGATGGTGTTCGAATCACAGAATGTCAGTCTCAGCATGAATCCAGTATGGATCATGGCACCAGAAAATCCCATCAAGTATGAACCAAGCATCAGATAAAAGCATACCACAGGGGACATAGTAATTTTATATAAGAGTGGATTACAGATTGCCACATAGCGATCATAGGCCATTGCTGTTAGTACATAATATTCAGAAATGGCAAAAAAGCAAAACAAGTAGAGCTGGGTCATGCACCCCGTGTAAGAGATAACATTCTTCTTCAGTAAGAAGTTCATCAGCATCTTGGGTGTAATCACTGAAGAATAACAGAGGTCTATGAGGGACAAGTTAAAGAGGAAAAAGTACATTGGAGTGTGAAGGTGAGAATTCAACATAATTAGAATGATCAAGGCCAAATTTCCTAATATAGTTACCATATATATTGTTAGAAAGAGTAAGAAGAGGGGAATTTGGAGGCCAGGCTCTTCAGTTATCCCCAAAAGTATGAATTCCATCACCAAGGAGCCGTTTGCTACAGCCATTGTTCTCCAAGAAAATCTGGGAAGACATAAAAGGCAAAATTATAGGAAAAAGCAAAACTGACAACTATCTGTGATAATCTTCAGTAATGTCCTGGGTATACACTGACCCACTTGAAAACAGTGTGCCCACCTTTGCTTTTACCACGACATAATGTGGCATCCTCCTCTAGTAAATAAATATAAAGCCTGTCTTTATTATTAGTGTTGGGAAACAAAGGCAGATCGATATCTGTGAGTGTAACATTATCCTGTTCTACAGAGTTGCACAGTGATACCTCCCATCTATACATATAGACAAATATACATGCAAATAAACACACACAATCTCTCAAGTAGTCTACACAACTGGTCTATGCATTCTCATTTTAAAATGACTGTTAGAAAAATCAAGAGAAATAGTACAAACATGTAGCTACCTAACACTGACCCCAGTTTGTGTTCTGTGAAGTACAAATCAAGAGAATTGTTTCTACATGAAACAAAAGAGCCAGAATCTCAGAACAGTTAATATACTCAGGAACATTCATGATCTGGAACAATTTTAGATCTGTCATGGGTAAGTAACTTGTTTAATAAGGCACTGGAACTTAAATGTCTACTGGATGTCTGGATGATATTAATTCACCTTTCTCAGACATTCTTCTTTGAATTTCACTTTAATCATAGACCTGTCCTAAATAGAGAGAAAGGTGCACAGCATGGATCCTTGGTACTGGGCAAACAGAAAAGGCAGCACACTTCAGGGTAAAGTGTGTATAATCTTCCCTGAAAGTGAAAATTGCAACGGGTGTATTCACATGTAGAGAAAAAAGAATGTTTATTGTTGAAACTCGTAGGAAAGTAAAACAGTTGAGACTTGGCCAAGTTGAAGAATGCTCAGTTATGAAACAAAAAAAGGTTCTTGATTTCAAATGCTCAACAATGTTAAACAAGTTAACAGTGCTATATTTTATACCTAGATTTGTTTAAACATTTTCACTTTATATATTCACATTGATCTCTACAAAAACACATAAACATGTACAAAGAACATAAATGAATTAGCTTCATCATTAGGTCATTTCAACAATGCATTTCTCAGTAAAAGCTAAGAATTTTATGACATATGTACTATTTTGAACATTAGTAGTAATTCAATAAATATGCTAAATAAAAATCAAAATGCTAGTTTGAATATGTTTTAAAACTTACCTTACTTAGAAGAGAAAACTGCGTGCATTTATTGTAATTATTATTTACTTGTTTTGTCTTGAGAAGTCAATATCAGGTTAAATTCTATGAGAATGCTGAAAAACAAAATTTTCGTGCGTTTCCCAGACATCTTTCTGAATTATTATCCATAGGTTGTAATACTAATTTGTAATACAGTAGAATAACATGATTAAAACAAAGCAATTTTCTTTTATCACATTTTTTCATTTGAAGCCCCAGTTTCTATAGGGTTTTATTCATAGTTCACTCTCAGAATACTCCAGAAGCTTTCTCAGGCTCTTCCAAAGAACTGAAAACAGTTATAAAAAAGAACTGAAGTGATTGTTTGTACATGCTAGATCAATATGTATTCTTATTGCCTTGGAGATTCAATCACCACCTACCCTGGTCTTTTGGGATTGTATATCCTTAGCACTTGAGTTAAAATTAAATGCTCATCTTCTAATCACCTACTTCCCAGAAATCCACTGCTGTTTCTTTTCCTCATCCCAGATTGTCACAGAACAGCTCCACAGAAGTGACCCAATGGCTTTCTTACCTTATCATAACAATGGTGCCAGGAGTAAAGTAATGCTTCAGTTTAATATCTCTTGATAATTTTTCCAAATCATTTTTAATATGTGCTATTTTTGTTTGTTGCTCTAGGCATATATCTTAAGTCTTCATGGGTATTATATGAGAGTTCAAACATAGAATTACTTTTGTCAGCCCACTAAAATTAATTTTTACATGTATATAGTCATCAAAGTTATGCCAATATCTTAACATATTTCATAAAATCTACTAGAAGTTGCACCATGCCTGGGGTAGTGACAGGTTTCTGTAGTTGTAGCAAGTAACTTTTTAATTCCAGGCATAGAAGAAATTTCCAACAAATTCTGGGCCAAATAGTGAAAGAATATACCCCAAAACTCAAATGGAAAGAAATAAATTTAGAGTAAAAATTGAATCATGTGGTGGTCTCCATACTGTAATAAAAAATGCTAAAGTATATCTGCAAAAATCCAGAAAATGTGTAATTTTCACTTAGTGAACCGTAAAACTTGATTGCTTATCTTAAAAATGATTTGTTTCAAATAAAAGTATAGATAAACTCTACATAAATCTTCTTTTTCAAAGATTCACTTTCACATGAATTAAATACTGACACACCACATGTAGCCACCATTTTTTTCTTATTGAAACACATTGTTTCTTTCTCTTTTTTCCCTCCCTCCCTTTCTCCCTTCCTTACCTCCCTCCCTCCCTTCCTCCATCCCTCCCTTCTTCCCTTCACTCCTCCTTTCTTTTGTTCTTTGTTTTACATCCAGAGAGCAGTTTTCCCTTTTTCCTATGCTCTTAGCTCCCACCCCAACCCAATTCCCTGTTCCCACAACTTAATCTGCTCCTCCTCCATTCCTGTTTAGGAAAGGGTAAGTTTCCAATCAGTATTAAAAAAATAATGAAATTCTGTAACATGATGGTTTGCTTTCTCATTGGAGTTTCCATCCTGCCCAGCTCACTGAAGAAGCAGAATGTGTTCTGCCCTGCTGAAGTACCTCACCATGTAATAAGACTTGGCAAGGTGACTCAATATGAGGAGTAGGGTCCCAATAACCAATAAAAGAGTTGGTCCTACTCTTGAGAGTCCTATGAGTTGATAACACTATGCAACTATAACATATAACATATATGCAGAGAACCTAGGTCAGTTCCAAGCAGACTTCCTGGTTGAAGGTTCTGTCTCTGTGAGTTCTTATGCGCTCAAGTGGAACAAAATAATTTTACAATTGTGAGTCACTGCAACATGATGAACTATATCAAAAGATTGCAGCATAAGGAAAGTTGAGAAACACTGTCCTAAAAGTTTTCTTGCAGTCTGATCTCATGAAGGCAATTTCTCAATTAAGGTCACTTCCTCTCAGGGAGTTCTAGCTTGTATCAAATTGACATAAAAACAGTCAGTTACCTAAGGGCAGGTTGACGACATTGAACTACATCCTTTATAGAAAGGACAATACTTTGTACGTATTGGAGACTTAGACCCTTTTATGGTCTTCTGAGCACCTCTAAATGGCTTTCCACAGCATGCACAGCTTGTCTGATAGGCTCAGGCATACTCTACTTCATGGCTACTGCTTTCCGTAGCAGTCATCCCATGGTTCTAGTAGGCTGCACTTCACCAATAGCTTCTCTTGTGCTCTTTCGATAGTGCAAAACCTCAATGTCTCTGAATGACCCCTTCTATTCTAGGGCTTCAACTGCTGTATCTTCAACAATAGTCTCTTCTGGACTCATACAGAGCCATCCATGATCTCTAATATTTGGTTGTTCAATACAAAGTGCTCAAGAACAAAAAGACTCAGCAGGTTGTAATTATGTGTGTGTGTGTGTGTGTGTGCATGCATGCATGTGCTCATGTGTGTGTGAGAGAGAGATGGGAGAGGGAGGGAGGGAGAGAGAGAGAGAGAGAGGCAATAGTAATTTGGCAAGAAGTGGTTATCAATTTGAGAAAAAGGGAGTAACATGGAAGGAGTTGGTGGAAGCACATTTTAAGGGAGACACTGGAGGGAGGAAAGAAAATGGGGAAAGTAATGTAGTCATATTTTAATTAAAATGTTTCCTTAAAAGAAACACATTGTTAAATAAAAAATTGTCATATTGGATGGCTGGGCATGTAACCCAGTCATAGAAAGAGCATATTCAAGAAATTGAGTTTGACCCAGAACACTGTAAACATATAACTACAAACATTAGAAAAATTAACTTAAAAGTAATTTTCAAAAATATCAGTGAGTTCCTTCCCTTAAATGTATTAATATAGTTCTGGAAAGAAAACTTCAATGAAGTAATATGAAACTATAGAGACAGGCTTTGAAGCATTACCAATTTCCTTTAATAAATAAAATATATTGGAAAACTGAAGTTCACTGTTGCTCATGACTGGACAATCCCTGAAGAGAAGGCCAGACCAGATTAAAGTTTTGAGTCCCCATGGCTCTAAAGAGATGCAATTGCCCAGTATATAAATGCAATTGCCTCATTTTCTGTCTATATAGAACATCTCTTCTCTTGGAAGACAAAAACTCTTTACCTACCTTTCTCATAGTAAAAGGTACACTAGACATTTAAATCCATTAAACTCTTTTTACAAGGGGCCTCATAAATTGTCATTTGTGATAATAAGAAAGGGTATTTCTGTTTCCTATGATTCTTCAGAAGATTAATAATTTTCTTATATGTTATGATTAGTAGCTCAAAAAGATATCCTGGGATATGAGAGGTTATTTTATTCTGTATCATTTTATAATTAAAGGAACTGAAGACTCATAGCCAAATATGACACTTACAGAATGATAGGAGTGAATTTCAGAGCTAAGGAAACATCAAAGTTTTCTCTCATATGTAGGGTAAGTTTTCAATTAATAATTTCAGTTAGTATTTCATACTAATTTTTGTGCTTTTTATTTACCAACTTTATAAATATACCAGTAACATTTAAAATGATATATATGACATTTAGATCATTATATTTTAACTAAAATATTCATTGTGAAATGACTCAACAATGAAGTTAATTCAAATATGCTTCCCTGTTTATAAGATGATGTTTATGTATTTTTTGTGCACACATTCAGTGAGAATACATTTGAAGATATGTCTTGTTAGTCAATCCCAAATATATAATATCATTTTAGTCATAGTCAACATGTTGAACATTAGAACCCAGTTATGTTACATTATTTCAAATTTTTAAATTTTGGTGTTTTTTCATTAACTTATTCCTTTACACCAGCAACCAACATTCTACTCTTTGCGTATGTAAATGT